CTTCAGGACAATATCCAAACATAGTTATATGGGGGCTAAAGTCAGGTCATTGGAGTCGCAGTTGCATTACGGCTGACTGCAAATTCATGCAAACATACGCGAGGGGTAGGTGGGTTCGCCAACATAGTTGATGCAAGGGAGCATCAAGAAACCGATTCAAGCAGCAGCTTCAGGATCTGCTATGCAGTCGGATATATCCAATACCTGTGCACCCAGGTCCGTATATATCAGCTCTCTAGGACGGGACAATAGATCGGAATGATTCTTAAATCGGAAACAACAGCTGATAGAGCACAACGACCCAATGTAGGGGACAGGAAGAGGCGCGGGTTTCTCGTTTCAAGATACTTCAGCGCGAGCAGTCTCGGGAAGAAGCACGTCCCGATGGGAAAAACCGTCAGAAGGGGGAGAAACATGGCCGAGTCGGAGCCGATAACCAACGAGCGCACACAGCGGCATGACACAAAGATTGACGGGCCTCGTGCTCAGATAGTGGTTCGATGTCTTCTAGCCAGGAATACCACATCTAGACCTGAAGTGAGTTGATGAACAAAAAGGGATTAACTGTACCGAACTGTGCCGCAGTGCGTCATGACTATATCCTACCGGATGTAGTCTCGCTACGCAGCCTAACAATGATTTTAAATCATAAACCCAAAACGAATCCATCGCGGGCGCATAGAAGGTTTCGCATGTGATGGCAAGTGCTGCAAGGGATTTCTGGCATAATGATTGCTCACCAAACGGTTGTTCCGGAAAATTTCCAGGAGTTCCACGACAAATAGAGCCCGATGTATCTGACGTGGTAGTAAATCCAAAGGCAAGGACAAAAGGGGCGAACACGAAATGTAGAGAGAAGACGGACACAAATATAGACAAATAACCTTCCGTCGGTCTCAGCGTAGAATAAGCACAAGCATGGCCCAGCAGGATTTCCGTCGCGTTGTGCTGCCAGTGCGATGGGTATCCTGGGCCTGGCGAAAGCGAAAACTGAAACTGAAACTAGAATGTGGAAGATAATAGCTTAAATAATGTCACATGTGTCATCGTTTATTAGGGTGTTCATGGAACGTAAGGTGACTCTGAAGCAATTGGAATATCGAAGGGTCACTTGCAATAAATTTTGCGAGCGGAAACAATGGTAGTCTTTATAGCTATGCCTCTTTCGCTGAACAAGACTACGTAGTTCGTCGCGATGATAGAAGGCAGCGATATATGCAATCTGCACATGCGAGATCGTGAATATGATGAACCAGATCAGATAAAAGCGTACAGGAGAAGTTCTTGACGAAGAACGACATTCACCACATCTTCCCTCCATCAAAGCCGCCCCCCACACCAATATTAGTTGCAGAAGTTTTCGCATCCAGGAACAGCTCATTCATCTCTTTAATATCCTCTACTTCTATCTGGTTTCTTCCAGCAAGACCAGCAAGGATTGAAGCTGGAGTGAGAAGCTGGAGTGCATACCTGCAGAGGAAGTCATAATGATAAGCAGTGGTTCGCTGTTAGTTAATTAAGGTATAACATACCGCATGGATCCTCGTTCACCCTCTTCTGCTATTCGTTCCAAAACCCCGGCACCCAATTTCAGACCTTCGATGTTCGAGCGCAGCTGTACTACCTTGCCGATCTGCTCGCGATTGTACCCATCCGTCTTTACAATAAGGCACCTTGACAAGAGGCATCAGCTGATTATCTTCTCATGAGGCATGCAGACTTACCGATCTAATAGATCTACGGGGATACCATGAGGCGAGACAATGTCGGTTGTGCCTCGCACCAGTGCGTTTCCCCGATTGGTAGCAAGTATTACAGTAGGTGCCATGGGTGATTCAAGGAGAGCATTGAGGTAGGTAAAGCATTCGATATCCAGCATGTGCACCTAAGGAAATATTGGATGGTTAGTCTCGTCCCTACATAACACCGAGAGGATGGCATACCTCATCGATAAAAACTACACCCGGGACGACCTCGGCGACGCCCTGATCCACGTAGCCTTTCACGACCTTGTTGACTTCTCTTCGAAGTTTGTCTGTGACCTCCGTCCTTCCACTCTTCACGAGGCTACCCATGACGCTCATGATGTCTTGACCACCTTGCGGGCGTGCATTGGCGGCATCGAGGTCGCCGAGAGTGACGTCTTGAACAAGCTCTTTGCGCTTGTGAACGTCGCCTTTTGGTAATGGCACGTATGTTTCGGATTCGAGGTCATAGGAGGAGGCATACGCATCGGAGCGTCCAACTCTCTGCGTAAAAAATCAATATCTATACGCCCAAGCAAGCAGTTCTAACACACCTTGACCGCACCAGTGTTGGCTTCCACATATATGACATCACCGACCACAATTTTTTCCTTGAGGATGGCCTCATATATAGTGGGATCCAGCCGCAGCTGCTTGGTACCTTTAACAGTTTTAAGACCAACGATCACATGTGAGACTGTCTTTCCATATCCGCTCAAGGGATTCTCAGATTCTGCAGGCGTAAGTTCAGTGACTTCTCCTTCGTAAACCTCCTTCGTTTCTTTTATTCGCAGACCTGTCGAAAAAGGATGCATTAAGTTTAAAATCATAGATCTGAGCCAAGACTTGAACAGAGCTTTCTGGGCCACAAACAGGCCCATATTTTGAAGAAACCTGATGGAAGTCCTCCATGGATGTAAGAAATACTGACCGATTGCCCTCCTGAACGCTTCTGCAAGCACTTCCGTCTTCTTCACCTCTGTACTGTACACCTCAGAGCCAACCATTGGGCAGAATGGCACCTTGACACCTAGTTCGTGCGACACTGCTAATGCAAGGGCTGTTTTACCTGTTCCCGGCGCGCCTACGAGAAGTAAAGCACGCCCCGAAAATTTGCGGGATTTTATGAGGTCCACAACGACACCACATGCCTGCGATGTTCGTTAATTTAAAGAAGGTGAATAAAGAATATTCTTGCAACCTCTCGAGCATTAGTCTGGCCGATGAATCCTGCACCATCAGGCGCTGCAAGGCCGTCTGACGTGAGTCCAAGTCCTTTTATATGCGAGTGGGGAGCAATTCTGGAAGAACGAGCATTGGACGTGGCGGATGGTGGTGGTAGCGCATTGTGAGCTACGGGAGCTGATGTGGATGGTGTTGCGCTGGTTGCTTTCATGATGGCTTTTCCGTGAAGCGCGTTTGAAGCGCGACGAACGTGACTGTCACGATATTATGTCAGCAGGAGGTTGTTTATTTCTAAAGCCCTTGACAAACAAAGACCAGCGATAACTCGAACTTTCAGTGGCGTAGAAAATGTTATGAGGTCCAGCGAGTTGGACGAGCTGTAGACGTGCTAAGAAGTTCTCGTATTTTTTTTATTACGCTGGCCTCTTAGCAGGGCCTCGTGTCGCTTGGAACCGATCTCCTCTTATCAAGTCTTTTGAGCACTGTAGTCAACAAATTGGGTTTTGGCACGCGTGACATAGCACAGACATCATCATACATAAAGCTACTGTATGTAGCATTCTTATATCACCAATCCGCAAATCCAACAAGTTTCCCATCCCATGTCCACCAAATCATTTCATCTTCTTCTGGGATATCTCCATTCTCAATGCTTTTCATTTCTTCAGTCACCCCCTTCCGGCCGCGAATCCACACTCCTTCCACCTTTCCCCCCTTCTTTTTCTTCTTGACGTCATTTTGTGCTGAATGTTCACCAGATGCCTCGAGAAATTCGTCAAGCAGCGCGTCAAAAGCACCGCTGAGGGTTTGTTTGGGCACCCAAGCTGGGTGCGTAAATCTTCGCGGGGCACGCAGGACTATGTGTGTTTGGGTCGGAGCTATCCGTCGAGAATAATGTCAGGTACAAAGGCAGTGGTAAGAATTGAGTCTGAAAAGATTGTACTTACGCATTTCGCTGGCCATGCTCTGTCCATCATTTTCTCCGCACGCACTTGCGAGGGTGCGTGAGAGCAGGCGCTCGGCAGTGCGGAGGGCTTCAAGTTCTTGGGCATATGTTTGAGACGACGGCTGAGGTGGTGAAGGCGGAGAAGGCGACGGCGAAGGTGTCCTAGAAGGTGGTGGAGAGGGCGCCTGAGAGGATTCATCAGACTCCGCTTCCAACGCGGTTTCTTCATCGTCTGAGTCATCACTGTTGTCACTATCACCACTTTCATCTGAGTCAACGTCGCTGTTGCTGTCGCAGTCTGGGCTAGACTCATCCTCACTATCGCTTCTCTCTTCGTGATCGTCTGCTCCTCGCCGACCTCTACCGTGTTCAGATCGTTCGCCCCAGATCTTTGCCTCCAAAGCATCCACTCCCACCATGACTCTGGATCTGGCAGATCCTGGCGTTGGACCAAGAACGACTGCAAGGTAGGCACGACCAGAGCCTTGAGCATCTTCTCTCGATACCTCGTTGCAAAGGGCAAACGCCGTAGAAAGCGCTGTGAATGTCGTATTGAGGTGTGACGCGAGAGTATCAAATGAATTGAGGAGGTCCTGTCGCTTCTTCGCAGCCCTGGACGTAGCCTGCATGGTGTTAGTGTGGAAGTCAGATAGAATCGGCTGGGTACCCACATCACCACAGGGCATTTGTGCCAGCTGCATGACAGGGCTGTACAATTACAATCATGAGGGGAATTTTTGATTCAAAGCACTCGAACTTACAAAGGAATCTGACTCTTTAAGAACAGGACGTGGCCAACCAAGCTAAGGCACAATCTGGCGGCCATAGAGTCTGTCACAAGGTCTGTCTGGAGTGTAACGGACGGAATTTTCGTAGAAGTTGCAGGCATATGTGCAGTCTGTCTGTGCGAATAGGTATCTTCTATGTTTGTGGAAAGTACGTGGCTGTCCAGCTTACAGTCAGAGGGTGTGAGGACGCGCATGATGAGTCGGCGTAACTTATACTGAAATTAAAACCAAGTTACACTATCATGTGACATTTCGCGGTCGCGTTGTTATCACGTGCCAAGAATTTTCATTTTCCCGCGGTTGGACAAATAAGAAACGTGCGGCCATCGAAGACATGCCCTGATGGCTCAGTTGGTTAGAGCGCAGGTCTCATACTCTCGTATGACTGGTTGTACTACCGGGCAATCCTGAGGTCGCAAGTTCGAACCTTGCTCAGGGCAATAATCTTTTTCTAGATCTTCAGATCAAGAATTATTTTTTGAATTGCCTTGCCTGAACCAATATTGCTGCTCACTCTGGCTGATCCCCTTCCACAGCAGATGACTAGCGTAGTCAGACAAGTATTAGTAGCACGACGCAGTATCATGATCTGGTAAGTATCAGATTAATCATTACCACCTTCGACTGCTATGTAAATATTTAGAAGGAACACACCATATCCCTTCTCTTGAATATTCTATAGGTCTGGCTGCGGGAGACTATGCATCGGATTGAACTGGATTCCGTTTCCCTGAAGGCGACATCCATGTCATGACAGAAGGAATATAGGCAAGTTTTTCTACACTAAGTCTCAGACTTTCTCCTGCAGCTGTGAGTAGCCTTCACGTTATCACTACTACTAGTAACTACATAGGAGTCTGAGTCACGGTGGCCTCGGCCTACTGCGTCTCTACGATGAATTTCACGAAACATCCGAAATGTAGGTTCGATTCACATTGATATTAAACTACAGCGGCCAGGCATTAGCCTACTCGGCGGCTGACTTGCCGTCATTCCTGGAATGGCTAGTAAGGCTGACTAGGCTCCACTTGTCCTGAACTCACTGCAACGACCAGACCAATGGCTGAACAAGAGGACGCGCTCAAGCTGCTTGGTAGGGTTGCTGACGCTTTCGACAATCCTGCCTCTCGCGAGTCACGCAAAGACCGCCGCATACACAGGATCAAGACTTGCAGGTCCCATGCGGTATGTATGAGGCTTACTTTGCGCTGCGGTGCTGACGTTCTACCTGCCCACGCAGAGCCACGGGCAGGAAAGCCAAGTCCAACTTGCCCGCTACGCTCCTCACTGCGAGTCCTTCCTAGCCGAAGTAAGCTACGTCTATCACGCGGAAACATTTCGTCTGAGACAACCAAGAGCTTCACTAGAATCTCACCACACGACAATGTATTATATACCTGCGATAATACGAGTGACTTGGTAAGTTCGCATTCTAACAATGTTACAAGGTAGATCACACTTGACACATTTTAACAGGACGTAAAACAGTGTGACGACATAACAAAGATGGTTGGTGCAACTTCGTCAATGGCTAAGCCATTTGACCAATGTCTAGCAGCTTGCGAGTAGCAGTCCGCTCAGTAGACTCAATAACCTTGCACGTGTTGAGCTCAAGAAGGCTGGCTGGTTCGAACGATCGTGCGTCTTTCGTATATTCTTACCCCAGCCATTAATATTCGTCTAGTGACCAGTGGTCCATCGTCAACATGGGCCTTCCAACTCCAACGACGCCAAAACGCAGACATACATCTTTCCCTCCAACCCCTCCAGACATCCTCTCCCCAATTACTCCCTCCACACCCGCTATCACTGCCACTCGACCTCCGATCTTCACACCAACCACGCCGTCTCCATGCAGCTCGAGTTCGCATGACAGTTTCCTAGATATCCTTTCGTACGCTCCGTACGGCGAGCCCGTGCAGCCGAAACGTTTTGGTGTGGGTAGCCGTGTGAAGGATCTCGTGAAGCGCATCCTCCACATCGACGTGGGTGCGCATACGGACAGGAGGTGGAGACGCTCTTTGTTTGTGGGCTTGCGGCCTGCTTCTACAGCTAGAGTGTCGGGTACATGGGTGTTTGCCAACCTTGGATCCCCGCGTGCCCTAGTCTCCCGTAGGCGGACCAAATAGAGAGAAGATGGTCGTATGCATACATACCCAGGAGTGGAAACGATGGAGCGTGAGGTTCGACGCAGGCCCTTCATGATGTATTTTATTTTATCTGTTGCATTTTTACTGGATTATTGCGCCCTCTATTCACAAATAATTGATGACGATCGGGTGAGATCAAAGTGTTGATCACTCAGTAATAGCCATGGATTTGTGTAGAGATACGAGCCTCAGTTCAACATTATACGACCACCGCTACTAGTACACATTACTCAAGTGATGGCATGTAAATGTGTAGTCCAACAAGTCCGTGCAAAGAATTAAAAGTCATGACACAATCCAATGCTCCAATCCATGCATATATAACCAAAAATTTTGACCAGCCAGCCAGCCTATATCAAAGCCTGCGCAACATAAAACTCCCGCGCACCCGCCAACAGCTCGACCTGCGTCCCCAACCACGCCTCCTGCGCAAGCGCGTTCTCTCGCGCCCACGCATCCGCACGCACACTCTTCACCGTCATCGCAAACCCGGCGCTCACAGGCCGGTGGTCGCTCACATTCGCCTCGTATCGCTGGTAGTGCAGCTGCTTGACGCGCTCGGGATCGCGGGAGCGCCAGAGCACGCGATCACACCAAGCAGGCACGCGCTTCTTCTCGCTCGTATCGAACTCGGATGAACGCCGGTCGTACTTATACGTAGGGGCAAAAGTGAGAGGCCCCTCGCGGAAGGAGCGCAGGCGGAACCCGCGGTTATGCTTCATTTCTTTCAGGAGCTGATCGTGCGTGTGGAGGGTCTCGAGGTCACCAGATTGGATGGCGGAGATGACGGCGTCGCGACGTTGATCGATGCGGTAGTTCAGGTCACCGTTGAGCTAGATAGACGATTAGGATCATAATGTACTTTCGGGGAAATTGGTTTTAAACGTACAAAGACTATCTCGTGGTCTAGGACCATAGACCCATCTCCACCACCGACGTATGCGAGAGACTCCTCGACAGCATCTGAAGATGGGAAAACGGACTTCTCCTCCAACATCGCAGCCACATCTGCGTTCCGCTGCCGGACATGGTGCAGCCCAGCTGCGAGATGGCAATTGATGAAGCAAATTGATGAATCATCAATCACAAACCGCGCAACGATCCCGCCCTGCATACATCAATGCACAGACTCTCTAAACACAACAACATCACACACCTTATTGCCATACCTACCCCCCATTCCACGCTTGATCGTCGTTATCGCCACATCCTTGAGTGCCGTCCTCTGCGAATTCTTCACAAACATGCACGTGAACAGCCCGACCAGACTCTCCGTGTGTATCACCGTATACCCCTCCGAAAGCGCCCTCACCTCACGCACGAGCCGGTCGTGCCACCGCTTGTAACTCGAGCTGACCTTCTCTGAGAGCTTGCCCTCTTCGCCCTTCTTCTTTCCGCCCAGCAGTACCGTCTTCGCAGCCATCTTACGGCTTTCGAGGTCGATCACCTCCTGGAACCCAAAGCAGATGATGTCCGGTGTGGTTGAGACGGATGTGAGGGCGTCGTATAGGAAGGTGAGGTTTGCGGGATCGTCAGTGAGTGATTCGGGTTTGGCAGCGTCGACATTCCAGGACACAACAAGGACATTAATCGTGCGGAACGAGCTAAACGCACGCTCGCGCTTCAAGAGCTCGTTACCTGCACACCAACCCCATCAGTCCAGCACTTACCCATAAAACAAAAACAAAACAAAAGTAAAAGCTGTAGCCCACGTACCAATCCAATCAACCCCTAACAGACCATCCCAGAACCGAATCTGCTCGTCTCTCCCAATGCTCACGACACTCAACTTCTCCTCCTTCTCGATCGACCACGGATCCACAAAAATACGCATCACAGGCAACCCAGCATGCGCATTCCACGCGTTCGTCACGACCCACGGGCGGGACATCACGTCATATGCGCAAATCACGCCCGTCCGCCCGCCAGCCCACAGCCGCGTCCCAACGCCTTCGAGGCTCAACACGTCCGATGAGCTCACCTTCACTACGTCCGTGCATTCTGGCCCGGCTGCGAGATTCCAGATGCTGATGAATCCGCCCTCGTGTCCCAGGTAGGCATACCCTGCGTGGGATTGGAGCAGTGTGCCGCTTGTCACGGCGCCGACGTGCTGGGCGGGACTCGGGTGCACGTTCACCGTGCGCCCGATGCTGCCTGGGGTAAAGACATCGTAGATTCGGAGTACGGGCGCTGATGTGGACGTAGAGCCATTTGTGTCGCCTCGCATGCTCGTCCATAGCAGACCGCCAAGTAACTTGACGAACTCTGGTTTCTCCGCAATGCGGTACACGCGCGGGGCGGTAAAAGTAAGGCTCGGGACATCCGAGCCCGACGCAGCGGTTGGTTCGAATACCAGAACTTTCCCGCTGTCGTCCACGCTGAGCATGGCGTTTCCGTACCGGAAGATGTGCGTCACCGCGCCTGCGTGCGCACCGAACTTGGACGCGGTCACTTCCCCAGAATCCATATCCACCTCGAGCAAATGGCCCTCCTTCGTCCCAACCCACACCACACCGCCTCCACTCCCAGCACGGAGCTCAAGCGCGGTCACCTTCGCATCGCGCACGCCCATGTCCTTCATGTCTCCCACCCACAGCGGTACATTGTCGTACCCGCCCCGCGAAAGGTCGAAGCAGCGCAGGTGGTGGTGGGTAGCGACGAGCACTCGCGCACCGGCAACCACGGCTTGCGCTGCATACGCGGGGACGTGGATCCGTGGTGTTCGCAGGGTGGGCGGGCGCCGGGAGGCACGGCTCGCATCGGGGAGTAGCATACGTGGGTCGTCGTATGCGTCCTCGGGACCGGATTCCTCGTCTGATGAGGGCGAGTGTGCACGCCGTGCCGGTGGGAGCTTGTCGCCTGGTGCAATAGTACGTGTTGGCGGGGGGAGGAGCTTGCCGCTCCCAAGTGGTTTGCGGTCGCCGGAAGAGGCGAGATCTCTAGGTGGACTGCCTATATTGATGCTGTGACGTGCAGCGAGGGAAGGAGGCGGGGATATAATCTCAGAGATATCATCAGGTGTTGTACGCCGCGAGGGGAGGGGAGGAGGAGTGCTGAGTGTAGGAGTCGAGCTGGCTGAAGAGTCACGGCTTGGGTGGGAGTTGCCATTGCTGTTGCAATTTCGCCGTGGAGGCGGTGGAGGAGGAACTGTCAGACTTGGCCGTGAGGGGGTTTTGGGTTTTGATGGGGATAATGTACCATCTACGCTTTCATTCGAACTACTGATACTATCAGAGTACGATCGCGTATGTCCGCCCATGCCTTCAGATTCGTCATCAGAAAATGGACTG